TAGGACGCCTGCTCTTGTCATGTTTGACCAATAAATGACTAGCTCTAATTTGACCCTCTCCACCTTCCAACGGGTTAATACTCTGTAGTTCTTGAATATTTTGACTCGCATATCCTCTAATGGTATTGGGATCAACGCCTACAGGAGGATCCCAAGTACTTTCCTTGGTTCTACGATTATAATAGTAAACCATTCTGCGAGATCGTGAAATTCGGGATTCCCACTCTGAAGGAGCGTCACCATCCATAGACTCGGGTTTTTGACTTGCTATATCATTAGAAATGCTTCCTCCAGAAGCGTCAACAGAAGCAGTGCCATTATTATTAGTAGTAGTAGTTTCCTCATTGTTCGTTTCAGTTTCAGCTTCTTTTGGACTAGCCTAAAAAAAAACGACAAAATTCATTATACTTTTTTTTTTTTTTGAGGAGAAACTTACTCTCACGTGTATCTTCCATTCAAAAACCGTTCTGTTCTTTGAGTACAGCTTACCATATCGTTTATAGTTTTTTTTTTTTTTTTGGTTTTTTTTAGATCTTTTGAAAATGAAAAAAATTAAAGTTTGAATATTTGAATATCAGTTAATGTGCATAATTATTAGGATAACTAAATATAGAAATAAATAGAGCCAAGCCACATGTAGGATGTTTGGGTTAGTAATGGTTATACAAGCACTTTTAAAATTTTGGATTTCCAAATGGAGAATTTCTATTTGATCTTAAAATATTCGTTTAGAAAGATTCGACAAAATTGAAGAAAATTTTATTAAAAATTAAATTAGATTATAAATTATTCCAATCATTTATGAACTATTTGAAGTTATACTTGACACGAAAATTGTCTAGTAATGTTTCTAATTTGGTAATTAAAACTTCGGTTTCGGCTTCATCATATCCCTCAACTACATCTTTATCAACGTAAACCTTACCGAGAGGATTACAATAACCACCATATTTTATAGTAGTAACTAGAGATTCAATAGGTTGAGTTGCAACGTAATAATTGACATATGATCCATTCCAACTGGTGATAGTTTGAACTCTCATTCCTAAAGTTCGTGCCTGTTATTATTATAAGATTTCACGAATTAGTGAATGAATAAAGATTTATATGTATAGATATTTATTGATTCATCAATTACTTTGAATAAAAAAGCTTACCGTATAAAGTCCAATATCCTTTAAACCACTCGTAAGCCACCCAAGTCGTACGATATTTGTAGAAACAACCCCGGGATGAGTTGTAAAACTATAGATATTTTGTTTATTTAAACGAGAATTAAGTCCAATGCCAATTATATCTATAATTCGTTTGGATGATTCGTAAGGTACGTTTCTAAATAAATTAAAGAAATCTCAGCAAATTTTATTTATTTTTCTTTTGTAAAAATGATAAAAGAATTCTTTT